AATTGCGCCCCCTTTCCTGTAGTACGGCACGTGGCTTTCAACGTGTATTGGATACTGTACTGTATACTACTATGAAGAGTAGCATGCAGCATATAGTATATAGTAGTGTAGTATGTAGTATAGCCATTTCCAATGCACCCACAGTCTTGAATAATAAAAATTGCAGCACAGGGGACAGAGCTACCCAGAATTATTTGCCTTCTTTCGTTTGTTTCTTTTAGTTAGTTCTTATTTTTTCTTATTTTTCATCAGTTCTCTTCATACATAGTTGTTTTATGTTAAGACATGTTATCCTCATGCTGAAGGTTAAGTTTGGATGTCTTTTGTGTGCATCACCAACTGGTGACTGCCAGTGAAAATCCTCAGATAGATGTGTTTGTTTATTACAATGTAAAACATAACAGTCGCAAATATCAATGGAATTTTGGGCAGTGCTGGAAGGTGTGGAACCTTAAAGGGCCTATATTATGGAAAATCAGTCAGATGCTTTTTTTTCTTCAAATAAACAAGTTTGATTTAGTATGTAAACACTATTAAAGTTTCATAATGAACTGTTTACTCACCAGTCCTTACAGCCCATATATGGAAAACTAAGCTGCAAAAACATCTTGTTTTGAATTTATTGTTTTTGTGATGTCAAGAAAATCAGTGCATTTACATATATCCACCTACTTAGCATACAGTAACAATTGCACAGTAACAAAACAAAGTCAGAAAATGATGATGTAAAAAGGATTTATAATTGTTTTTGACACACACAACCACAAAAACTTGTAGGTGGACCTTAAGAAAAAAAAAGAAAGAAAAGGAAAAATGTATGATATTTGCCCTTTAATATCAGAGGATTTTATTGGTTAAAATGGATGGCCCCTAATTTTTGGGCTTCACTGTCTATGTCTGTTTTTCTAATTCTGAGATCTTCACTGTTCTCTTTCTCTCTCAGAGTAACTTCCTGCAGCACTTTCTGTCCGTCCCTGTTCCCAGGCAGGGCAGTAAAGGCAGCGGTCCTGCAGCGGTCACTCTGTCTCAGTGGCTGCAGCTGCTGCTGAGCGTTTCTTTTGGAAAGGACGGTCAGGTAATGATAGTGAAGCTGCATGGAGCTGTGGAGCTGCTGGCTGACCTGGCGCAGAGCATCCTGGGAGAAAACACACCCACTGCCCTCCTCGTCCTCCACAACATCTGCTTCTGTTCAGCCAACAAGGCCAGAGTGCTCGCTTGCGGTAGGAGCTCTTAGAGAACAGAGACCCATTTGAAAATGGAACATACTGGAAAATGTTTCCAATATGTTTACTCAATAAAATGTTCAAGGTGAAGTGTTATGGTGAACGTCATCTCGGTTGGGATTTGGTCACAGTAGATCACCCAAGCTGAGATGTTGCTCACAAAAACCAACCATCTCCAGTATTCTATTGCTTTAAAAGGCCCAGACCATGTAAAACTGAATTTTTCCTCACTATTTTGTCATTTATAAGCATTTCATGTAGTATGTAAACAGTGTTGAGGTTTCATAGTGTTCCTTTCACTCTCCAGTCCATACAGAACCATATTTGGAACACTAAGCTGCAAAATCAGCAAGTTTTAATTTCACTGTTTTTGTGATGCCACTAAAAACAGCATATTTCAAAAAAACAGCATACCTACTCAGTCTATAGCAGTTTAGTTCCACCCATTTACACCAAAATGTTTCACCATGAACTGTTTTTTGAATGAGGCACGGCCAGTCAAAACAGAACTCATATACATATGTCAGTCTTAAAGGTGCAGTAGCAAACACAGCCTGTTTAATTTTAAGGGATAAAGAGAGGTCATGTAAAGATAAAATATGACTGCTTCGGTACACAGACATTGCAAATGGACCTCAGGGAACAATATAAGCCCAAGAAAAATATGTGATATTGGCCCATTAACAGTTTTGCAAAGAAAAGAAAAAAGTAAACCGGAAGCTATTGGCATTATTTCATATAGGGGTGCATCAGTGAATAGATTTTTTGCTGATTATTATTAGTCTTTTTTGTAATCTGAAGCTCATACTGTGTGGACAAAATGAACACGGGAAACAAGTTTTGTGAATATTTCGTGATGAATGGACCAACAGAAATTATCCAAAAATCTTGTACATGCTGCTCTTTCTTTGTTTTCTCTCAGGTAAAGCTATAGAACTGCTAGTATCGTGCCTGGATAACAGCTCCCTAGAGATCCGTGCTGTAGGGGCTTCAGCTCTATGGGCTCTGCTACACAACTACCAGAAGGTATCTGCTGATTTATTAAATCTGAATCTCAGCATTTTTTCAAAATATCTGCAAAATTAAATGGTTGAGAAGCAAACAACAAAATTCAGTGTATTAATCTGAAATGCTCTGTTCTAGAGTCAGAATTGTTCGCAGTAATGGTGATAGGAACTAGATGGCCACGTCTATAAGCTCCCTCACAGAAAGTTATTACATTAAATGGTTATGAATGCACTGCCTGATGTCTGAAACATTGTTTTACTATAGATTTGAGACTGTCTTGGCTTAAAACATATTTTTAAAATCTTTCATGGCGGAGGGGTACATGAAGGGTTAAGTCAAAATAGCTCAAGAAAACATGCTTTTAATCACTATTTTTACCATTATCAACATTACATATAAAAGCGTGTAGGTTCTCGAGTCGTTTTGGATAGTAAATAAAATACCTGTAATTGTGTTGTAGACATCATGACCCCTGGTTCCTATCACCACCAATGCAAAGAAATGAGTCTCTACAAAGAACCATTTCACACCAAACTACTCTGAATGACCTTTACTTCTTAAGCGATTGAATTACGCAGAAATTATGACATATTGGTGGAATTCCCCTTTTTCAGTTTCGCATTTTCAGTTTACATTTACAGCCCATCTACACAGTTTATCACTCCCCCTCTACCTTCTTCATCAAAATCAGATATTATTTGGGTGGTGGTCAGGTCTCAGCACAGCAGCACAGCAGTAACAGTGACATGGTAGTGTGTCTGGAGCTGGTATGAGTGTCAGACACAGCTGTGTTGCTGTTACTGCTAGGTTGAGAGTGGCCCACCACCCGAAAATATCCAACCAAGAGCAGTTCTGTAGTCAGAAACTGACCTTTAAAGAAGGACTAGAGGATGACTAACTGTGCATTCACACTAGCAGACACCAGAACGACCTGTGACCAGTCATTTACTTCAGGAGTTTGCAGTTTGTAGCTGCAGCAGTCTCGAGATGAAATTTTCTATGACCTATGACACAGTGAAGCGACAATCTAAATGACTGGCTTGAACAAAGTCTTTGAACCAGTTGTAGACATAGGGGTCTGAGTTCCCCTGCACCTACTGTCTGAACTTTTTCTTCCTACCTGTATTTTGTTCCTATTCCCAACAATGTCACTCAAAATATGAAAGAAAAACTTATGAACTTGTAACAGTGGTTTATATTTTAAACAAATGGGCAATACATGTATAGTACATATTTTTACATTTTTTTCATAAATTTAAATATTTAAAAATGCAATTTTGGGATTTTACCAGACATTCCCTACACTGGTGAGTAGTAATAAATACATATCATTTTGTACTGCATCTGGTTTCCCTCATAACAGGCAAAGGCGACATTGAAGTGTCCCTCCATCAGGCTCAAAGTGGACGAGGCCTACGCATTAACTAAGAAAGGTACGCATTTATTTATTAAGTACATATTTATTTAAGCTTAATCAGGGTTTTGCAAAGAACCTCTTAATTTTCCTCTTTATTTCCATTTTCAAGAAGCTCCTACAGGTGGAGTTTGGTTCCTCAGATGTTTTCTTTGAGGAGTTTGTTTGCTGCATATCATTTTGTGTTTTGTGTTCATTAACAGATGCACAGCAGAAGAATCAGGAGCCCCTGAATGCATATTTACTCAAATGCCTTGAACATCTCAGCAAGCTTCTAAATACCTGAGTGCCTTCAGAAACTCATGTCAATCATTTATATTATAATTTATACGTTTCTCGTGCCTTGTTTCCTGAGTTGTAATGTTATTTAAATCATGCCTTGTATGCTTTTTTATTCAGAAATAAAAGTTATGATTTACTTTTCTATTTGTCATTTTTGTTTTAATCCAGACCATTTCACCCTGAAGTAGAGTGTTATTGCTGTCATTTTCTATAATATTTAAATGTAATTATGTAATTACATAAGTAATTATATAATTGCATTATGACTTGCATTTATGTTGTCATGTCAACAGGTTTGAGTCTGCTTTGATGTATGACAAAAGGATACAAAAATGTGGTATGGAAAGTTTATAATCTGCACTTTTTCCACACAGTTTCTCCACTTGTGTGCTACGAGTCAGATGTTATGATTTTAGCTAACTGTACAGTTGTATGCAAAGGTTTGGGCATTCCTGGTCAAATGATATGTTTTGTTGATTTTCTAATTGGAAATAAATGAGCACTTCGTCTAAAGGAACCCTACATACGGCTAGTTTTAGTGCACAGTTTCAATTTTCTTGCTGATTTCTTGCATACTTGATTGAAATTTAACATACTTAATAGATTTATAATGTGGCCTGTACACAAAGTTCTGCGTGTGGTGTATTTAATATTGTATGTTATATTTTCTCCTGTACTCCTGTTACACAGAAATTGTGCACTACAATTTGTAGAAGTGGCATTTCTGTGGCTTATGTTTTTTTTTAAATCAACATATAAACCAGGGGTGCCCAAACAATTTTTCTTTTCTTTGGAAAGCATATACAGATAGGAGCAGCTTGTCATGGAAACTGCACAAATCACAGACTTGTTGTTTGTTTTCAGAGCTATGCTTCGTTGACATTTCAGTTAGAGTGACTGAAAAACTAGTTCAGAGGTGGCCTGGCCCCCCGGATTATTTCAAGTCTTTAGTGAGCGTAACGCCTCCTCGTTGAAAGCGTTCTCTCACTGGCTGAAGAACTGTTCTCAAGTGTCTGCAAACAGGAAGTTGTACTGCGTGCCTCTTCAGCCCATCAATGCAGCATTCATTTTCACTCTGCGCAGGAAGATGGAGGCAGTACAAAAGGAATACTGGTACTTCTTGGTACTTGTTTCTCTCACTTTTCTCAAAGGTACTGTGCTGCTGTTTTTCTTGTATAAAGGACAGAAAAAGATAAATGGCATGTACATTGTTACATTGATTATATTTGTTAACTCCTGGTAAGTTAGAAAAGAATGACTCTCATCTCATCGCTGTAGTCTCTTCTGACTTCACTGATGGAATATTTACAGTAAAAGATGCGTCTAATATCTGTTAATGGGAGTTTTTGACAAATCTCCCATTATCACTTTTGATCTGAAACGTATCCGAACAAACTCTTGTTTATACTTGGGGATTTCCACTTAGAGTATATGATGTTCCTTTAATCTACTTTCAGTTCCAAATTGTTTTTTCGGTGTTATACAGACTCCACTGTGGTTAGATTAGAATAATTATATTGTCCCTCCACTTTCCGTAGCATGACTACAATTACTTTTACAGTTGACATGCTTTGAATAGTTTACTTACCAATTGATATGAGATATTCCAGTGTGTATTATAATATTAATTTTATTATGTAATACACTTTGTTTATATAGCACCTTTAAAAATTAGTTCACACTGCTTCAAAGGAAGATTAAAACAGGTACAAATAAAATACAGAGGAAAAATAAAAAAAAATTGAAGAATGAATCAAGAAAAACTGCTTTAGACTTGATTTATTAATGTTAATACATATTACTTAGTAACCATGTAAGGGAATAGTTGTGGTTTTAGAATGCTGGGAACTGAGATTGAAGCCCAAACTCTCCCCCCACCATTCCCCTCCACCATTCCCCTGCACACACATCCAAAAAATTGGTTATTGAAGTTAGTGTTGACAGAATTGATCATTCTCTCAGCAGATGACATTTCCTTTCTTCATCTGATCAGTGGTTTTGAATATTTTTAATAAATTCAGTATTCAAAATATGGAAAATACAAACATATAGAACAAGTTACATCCATTGCACAAACTACAGACTTTGCTCTGATTAAAAGCTGCTTTAGTTTTGTTGCTGTCTTGTCCCTGAATACTTATTGTAATGTCCATGCTGGGTTTCATAATGTGTTTTAATATTAAATTCATTACAGTCTCTTGACATATGAGACACATATTTGTTGTGACTCTTGTTGAAAAAGTATTTCATCGCTTTTGAAACTGCTGGTTGTCACAGCTGCACTGTTTGTATTTAATCATGACTAAATAGGATTCATTCAATTAATTTGCAGGTTATTTGAAAATGGATAATATATTTACTGCACTGCTGCCACCATCAAGTGAAAGGAACAATTGTAGTGTACAGGACAGAGGGCTGATTAAAATCAATCTGCAGGCCACATTTGGCCCTGGAGTTGGAATTTATATGCCCCTGGTGTGGGGTAACTGTGCATACGAATAGTGTAATGTTGTAAATGGGTGTAAAGTAACTATTTAAGTGGGTGTGGAGTAACTATGTTAATAGGCAATGTAGAATGCAAATAAAAATTTAATTTAAGATTTATAAGTCTACTTTGACCTGTATTTGAACAAAACAGTACAAAAGACAAGATATGTAACATTTTATCTTATCAACTTTATTGTTTTTTGTAAATAAATGCTCATTCAGAGGTTGATGCCTGAGACACGTCCCAAAAAGTTGTGACGGGGCAATTTAAGACTAGGAATATTGTGAAATGTTAAGAAAACATAAAAGAGGTGATGTAATCATGCTATGGGGTATAAAACGAGCATCCAGGAAAGCCCTAGTTCTTTATGAGCGGAGATGGGTGCAGCTTACCACTTTGCCAAAAATGCATCAGCAACAAATCCAGAAGTTAAAATCACATTCCTCAGCTAAAGATAGCAAGGATTTTAGGTATGTCATTCTCTACAGTGCATAATATCCTCAAGAGGTTCAGGGAATCCAGAGAATATCTCTCTATATCTCTGTGCATGAAGGAAAAGGCCAAAAACCACAACTGAATGCTCATGCCCTTCAATCCCTAGGGTTGCGCTGCTTTATAAACCGGCATGCTTCTATGATGGAAATCACCACATGGTCTCAGAAACACTTTGACAAACTGTTATTAATAAACACTGTTTGTTGCTACATCCACAAATGCCAGTTATGACTGTACATTACACAGTGGAGGCCATATGTCAGCGGTGTCTAGAAATGCTGATTTCTCTGGACTCGAGGGTCTGTCATGGTAAAGTGTGGGGGGGTATTAGTAGGTAACCTGAAAGCACCTGTAACACTGAACTCATGCTGCTTTCGACACATCATTTTTCAGGGATGTCCATCCTTATTTCAGCCTGACAGTGCTAAGCTACGTTCTGCATGTGTTACAACAACATGGCAGTGGAAATAGAGAGTGAGGGAGCTAGACTGGCCTGCCTACAGTCTAAAACTGTCTCTCATTAAAAATGTGTTGCATTATTAGGGTCAAAATACCACATCAAAGGCCCTGTACAGTTGCACAGCTTAAAACTTATATAACTGAACAATGGCAAAAAAATGATGCTTTCAGAACTGGATCAGTTTTTGTCTTCAGCCCCCAAACAATTAAAAAGGAAAGGTGATGAAACACAGTGGTTAGCATGCTCCTGGAACATGCTGAAGGCATCGAATTTGGAATGAGTGTATATTTACAAAAACAAGTTCACAGGGTAAAACATCAATTATTGTGTTTTTGCACCATTTTCTATTTAATACACGTCTAACAGCGTTTACTAATCACTGCTTTTTGAATTTGAATTGGGTTTGTAAATGAGCACAGTGTAATCTTGTAAATGGGTGTAAAGAAACTATGGTTATGGAGTAGTGTAACTATTGGAATAGATGTAGCGTAACCGTAGAGATGGGTGTCGTGTAACATTGGAAGTGTGTTTAATGTAACTGGAAATAGAGGTAGGGTAACCACGGAAATGGATATTGAGTAACTATGGAAATAGGTGCAATATAACCATGGAAATGGGTGTACAATAACCATGGAAATGGGTGTAGTATAACTATGGAAATGGGTGTAAAGTTTCCTTCACTTTATTACGCCTTTGATCAGGACCCTCACAGGACCACCAGAGAGCATGTATTTTTTGGGTGACACTGACGTGGGAGTGGCATGTTAGTGTGTGTTGTGCTGGTATGAGTGAATCACATACAGCAGTGCTGCTGGGGTTTTTGTCCACTCACTGTCCACTCTATTAGACACACCTACCATGTTGGTCCTCCTTGTAGATGTAAAGGCAGAGACAGTAGTTCATCTGTTGCTGCACAGTTTCTGTTGGTCATCCTCTAGTCCTTCATCCCAGGACGCTGTTCTCAGTCCAGCAGTGACACTGAGGTGTTTAATAACTCCAGCAGCACTGCTGTGTCTGATCTACTCGTACCAGCGCAACACACACTTACACACCACCACCATGTTAGTGTCACTGCAGTGCTGAAAATAATCCATCATCCACATAATACCTGCTCTGTGGTGGTCCTGTGGGGGTCCTGACCAGTGAAGAACAGCTTAAAAGGGGGTTACAGTATGCAGAGAAATAGATAAACTACAGTCTAAAATTGTAGAACTACAAACTGCTGCTATACAGGAAGAGCAGCTGATAAAATGGGTGTAGAAACAAGGAGGTGTACCTAATGAAGGGGCCAGTTGGTAGATATATAGTAAAAATTATGTTATTAATTGTCAGATATAGCCATGTAGTAAAGTCATGTGGTCCGAAATAACTTCTATAAATACTTGTGTTTCAGTGTCAGAGCAGCTGAGGGCACCTGTCAGTACAGTCCGGCTGCAGGAGGGAATGATGCTGGACTGTTTATGTCCCTGGACTGGAAGACTCAGCATGGTCTCCTGGACTAAACAGCCTGATCAGAAGCCTCTGGCCATCTACCACCCTGAATTTGGCGTAAACTTCGGTGCACCCTACGAGGGCCGAGTGGAGTTTGTCAAAGCCTCATCCATGGATGGCAGCATCATCATAACGAATGTGACGGAGGAGGACCTGGGCCTGTACCGCTGCTCTCTGCAGACTTTCCCCCAAGGCTCTTGGACCAAAGACACACTGGTGGAAAATAAACTGGGTAAAGAGAAAATCAGTGCTGTTTGAGAAGAGAGTGTAAAGATGCCTGTTTCTGTGGGAGCAGTTTCTACCACTTAGAAAAAGTAAAATAAGTCATATAGTAAGTTATAATAATGATAAACTAACTCATAATTAGATATTCTGTTATAGTTATGGCTTAGTATCTCAAAATTGAGATTCTCATAATCATGATTTGCTACTACATAATTACGATTTGGTATTTTATCATAATAATAGCTTGGTTATCTCAATCTCAAGAGATACTTCTCATAAATATGACCATTTCATAATAACGACTCAGTTTCAGTTATGAAAAATCACATAACAACCTAAAAGTTTCTCGTAATTGTGAGCTACTGGGCCAGATTTATAAAGCTCGGTGGTAACGATGCAACATTTGTGGCACGGTAAATAAGACCTATTTACTCTGGTGGTGATTAACGCATTAGTGTCTTTTTTAACTCTGCAATATTTTCACCTGTGTCCTGGGCAAGAGCCTATCAAAACATACATGTAAATGAGGGTACACATATTAAAGACTCACGCTAAAACAGACACAAGAAAAGAAAAAAAAGAAAACCAAAATTCACAGAAGCAGAGCTACAAATTTTATGGGAAGCAATACTGACAAATAATAAGAAAATGGTAAATATACTGTTAACGTTTAATCAAAAAACAAGAATATGTTGTTTATAATAGAAAAAAAAAATATATAAAATCTAATTACATCTTAAAATTCTGCTTTTAATTGTAGGTATTATATTTTAGGAGGTATTTATATTTTATTTTTTATTTTGATTACTATGGCAAGCTGCTTTAGCTTTTATTTTCTATTTTTTTGTCTTGAATTCAATTTACACGTGACAAATTTCAATTTGTAAATTTTTAATTCTTGATCTCAGAAATTTGATTTGCACAACAATTAAAATTCTACTATGAAATATTAAAATTTGACTAACAAAATTCTGTTTTAACTGGTAAGTAAAAAGTAATGTCAAAATTACTTGCAATAAAATCAATTTGAACATGTGATTAGAATCTCGACATGTCAAATCACTCTTCACTTATTTGAATTACACACTAAACCTACTTTCCACACACCGGAGGAGGATTCACCAAAGATGGAATTTGATGCAGGAAATAGAGGCTGTTTTAAGTACAGTGCCAGTTAAATCTGCCAGCCTGAAATCCTGCTCAAGTCTTTTTTTCTTCTCATGCACTCCTACAACAGCATTTAGAAGGTTTGTCATGATGTTCAGTCTAAACAGATCAAACAGATCATGCATAATTTGTGGGAGCGAACATGAAACGGTTTAGAAAATATTATTTATTCCACATAAGCTTATTGCCAGGATAATTACCATCAGAGTGCTTCAAGCATTATTTTTTTATTATATTATTATTGTCATTAATTGCTACTGCCAGGTTTAAGTCAAGGAAGCACGCAGCCACGCATTGTGGCACTGTTTTCTGAATCTGGCCCACTATCTCAGTTATGACTTGCTCTCCTATTGCTATCTTTTTATAACTTACTAAGTGGCTTCCTTTTTTATAGATAAGGGATACAGGCTTTTATAGCGTGAAGGTTGGGAACAAAATAAAATGTACAGTTAGCGGCATAAATATTGGCACCCTTTGTATTGGTATTGTATTGTATTCTATTGTATTGGGTAAAAAAAAGTGTTTGTCCTTTGGATGAGGCTTTTTTGTTTTAGATTAATTGACATCTGTTGAAGGTTAGATTGTGCTACCACAGACATTTTTTAATGACATTTTTAAACATTTTCACCAAACTTGCCAATTATTATGGAGCTAATTGTATAGGCTTCGTAATTCTGTGTCTTGAAGAAATCGTTGCTTGTTATTATTGCTGGTAATTATCATCATCTTTGTCCATCACTTTTTAAGACATATTTGGTAAGTGATTTACAGACAAAGGAAAGGGTTCATGAATAAAACTAATTTTCCTCATTAATTATAGACTTTCATATGGGATTTGAATATGCAGTCATATGGCATAAGTTATTAATTATAACTTTTTTGGGGGGGTACAAAAAAGTAGGATATGGGCCTATTAAAAAAAACTACAAAGGAAAATGTAAGATAACAGATTTGCAATAGAATTTGGCATGAAAATGAAGAAAATGTCTTAAGAGACATGACAATAAAATGAAATATAAACACTGAGGATGATAAAATTTGGCTGAAAAACCAGACTTGGTGGACAGAGACCTAATTATGTGCAATATTATTACAGTAATTATCTGTTATTTCTCTGTTTCTTCTTCTCTGTTTCCCCTGCAGTGATCTCCACCACCTCCTCTGCCCATCCTCACACCGAACTCATCGTTCCAGAGAGTGAAAACCTGACCATCATTTGTAAAGCTCATGCTGGAGCTGTGAGTGAGGTCAGCATAGAGAAGCTGTGGTCAGGGCAGGAGGGCAGCACTGTGTTGGCAGTGTGCAAAGCGCTGGCAGACAATGTAGGGGTCACTGAGTTTGCAGACAGGATCGGGGTAAACTGCACTGATGATTTAGAGATGAGTGTGCACCTGAACGACGTGATGGAGAAGGACGGAGGGCTTTATCGCTGTAACTTCAGCATGGCCACCGGCACCCAGGACACCAGCCTCATCGTGCTGACCACCATACCCAATCGAGGTTGGAACTCTTTTTAGCTTAGAATAACATTCCTCACTCCTTAAACTCTCGGCTGATTGTTCAGTAACTACAAACTTCAATTCCAGAAAGATTTGTGAAATACGAGAGCAGACAGCAGACATCTGTGAATCGACTTTGAACTCAAACAAAAACAGTACAGACGTGATGTTTCATGTTTTACCTCATCAGCTTCATCGTCTTTTTTGTAATTATGCAGTAATTGTGAAACTGATGCCTGTAACACATTCCAAAAAAGTTGGGACAGGGGAAATTTAAGACTTTATTGTAAAAAGTTTAAAAAAAAAGGTGCTGCTTGGATATAAAGTGAAGATCCAGTAAATGCCTTGTCCTTTGTGAGCAAGGTTTTTTCAAAAGATGAGTCATCCATGATAAATAATCTAACATTTTAAGTTCAGTGTTTCTCTATGAGTGATGGCAAATATTTTAGGTGTTTCACCTTCTACAGTGCATAATATCATTAAAACTTTCAAAAAAACCTTGAGAGCTCTCTGTGCATAAAGGCAAGGCTGAAAACCACAACTGAATGGAATAAGGAATACTTTAACGGACCATTGTTAAAAAACACTGTTTGGCGTAGCATCCACAAATGCAAGTTAAGACTACTATGCACAGTGGAAGCCATATCAAAAACACCTCTGACTTCTCTGGGCTCAAGCGCATCTAAAATAAACTGGAAACTGTGGAAACGTGAAATGTGGTCTGACAAATCCACCTTTGTTCTCCAGGCCAAAGAAGTAATCTTGCTGGTTGTTACTGGCATAAAGTTCAAAAGCCAGGGCCTGTATGGGGGTATTAGATTATTAAGTGTTGTTAACAGGAAAGTTATAAACATAATTTTCAACTTTTTTGGAACATCAAGAATCGAATCCGGTGCTTAAGTGAAAATAGAAATAGTCTTTTAGTAAAAATTCTCTATTAATATATATTTTTATTTGAATTAAAGAACAAAAGTATTTGCTTTTAAATGTAAAAGTATCAAAAATAAAAGTATTGCGAGATAATCTCCCAATCCAATATTTCTTCTCTTGTGTCTTCAACTTAGGTCAAATTTCACTCCCCATCCAAACTGCTGGGGTATCGGCTACCTAAAAATATCCTATACAATGTTATAGCATTTACTTTAATTCTAAAAGCTTGTCAGCGTTGCTCGTGCCTAGTTACAGCTGCTAAGCTACGACTGGATATTCTGTATTTAAGGGAGGGATTTGGTGAAATGTGTGCTAGGATTGGTTTAAAGTTTCATGTGAAAGTGCATCATATTTTCTTTGTATATTATGGTGTGTTCTTCTATATTTTAGTGTAAAATGTAGTGGATTGAAAGTGAACGCCTAAAAAAATGCTTAGATGTGATAATTAAGCACATGCAGTTCTTTACTGTCCACCACTGGATACAAGGTTGAAGTTTCTAATAAAGTGGAAACTTTATGAAATTTTTCTGAACATGAGAAAGGAAAATGTGGGTTTAAGGGGTAAATTATTTTCGTTTTAAGTTGCTAAATGACTCTGATATTCCATTTCCAGAGCTGCTTTCATGCTTCAAGTGCACTGCCTGTCAAAAATCTGGAAATGTCTAGCTTTTCAGAATGTTTTTAATCCAAATGAGCATGTTAACTTTGTCCATTTGCAACAGCTTAACATATTAAATAGAAACCTGCTTAGGTTTTGATGTTTTTCTTTGCAGTTGTAAAACCTGTCTTGTCCTCGCATTTTATCCCCTTGTTGTGATGTCAGCACTCTTCAGGATTCAAAACTTTCAGGTTTTATCCACCTTTGGATCAAAATGGTTTCCATATGAGCTTTTAATAATTGTTTTGGAACAGGAAAAGTACTGTCAAATCATTATTTAGACAAATCCTGCTCTTCATAGCAAGGGAGATTCTTTGATGAACATGAAGCTGAGTGTTGAAAGCATCAATACAGAGCTAGTTTATGCTAAACTAAACATTTATAGGGATTTTTTTCTTTCTTATTACTTAATTGAGAAAAAGACAATGAAAATAAAACAATATTTAGTAAATCTGAAAAGAAGACAGACTTTTGATGGGTAGTGCATAAATGATGATTTTATTGGTAATGACTGCTGAGATAATGAGGTGGTTCTTCATATAATTGCTGGCCGGTTCCTGTATTTATATACCTGTTCATACATGAGAGGATGGCATAAATTTCAATTTCTTATTTCAGCTGTTAAACATCTTTGATAATGTGAAATTGCTGAGTGCAGATAAATTACAGTCTTCTGGTCTGTTAATATTTATCATATCCTTTATTTTAGGACTCAGAAATCTTCACAACATGATGTACATATACGTCGGGGGAGGAGTAGCAGGTGCATTTGTACTGATGAGCGGAGTTCTCTTACTGACGTGGTTGAGCAGGTGCGCTTTTTATACTACTAATGCATGTTTGCTTGTTTATGGAGTTACTAGCATTAAGGAAGACCCCATTTTTATGGTTCATATGTTTCATGTTTCACTAAATTACAGTGAAATCATTTCATATCTGATAGTGGTATTGATTTCAGCCCACTGTAGGGCTGCTCAATATATCGTTTGTTAATTGTTGCGATATTGACCTCTGTACTGATATTGCAAGATATAACACAATTGCCAGGTGTAGCAATGTAATCACAGTTACTAATATATTATATATATAATGCAGTCTTAGTACATTGCTTTGCAGGATGCAATAACTTAAAATGTGATGTGTTTTAAGCAGCAGATTGTCTGATGTCTCATAAGTGTTTTACTCTCTGAAACAAATCCTTGTGTCTCCAAAAAACTTTTCAGGAGAAGGAAACAACCTTCTCAGTGTTCAGTGTAGGTTAATGGGGAGTTCCACCCATTTTTAAAAAAGTGTGCGTAATTCAGTGGTTGAGATATAAATAGTCTTTCAATATGGTTTGATGTGAAATGGTTCATTGTAGAGAAACTTACTGACCCAGATTTGTTTACAGTGGTGGTGATAGGAACCAGGGTTTGTGATGTTTACAACACAAATATAGTCATTTTATTTACTATCCAAAACCACCAGTGAACCTACACTTGTCTTCTGAATTTTTATGTTGATGGTAAAATAGTGATAAATCTGAAAAATAGTTCTTTGGGGGCTATTTTGCTTCACAACAACCTGTGTGTATACCTTTTAGACTAAACTTTAAACCGGTGTCTCAGATATCAGTGTATTCATAACCATTTCATGTAATAACTTTCTGTGAGGGAGGTTTTAGAGGTGGCTGTCTGGTTCATGTCACCACCACTGTGAACAATTCTGACTTAGTAAGTTTCTCTAGAATGGAACATTTTACACCAAACCACTCTGAATGACTGTTTATATCTTACAGTTACATTACGGAGAACTTTCGTAGAATTACCCTTTAATACAACGAGAATTTTTAATGCAATTTTGGACCATTTCTGCTGTCTGGCTTATAGCGTTTCAATCTAAACTGTACAAGTCATTATTGAGTAAAGTAAGAACAGTTATTAATGACATGTCATTACTCCTGTTGTAATATTGGTAACCTTTAATTTCAAGGCTACCTACAGTGCCCTACACAAATATTGGCACCCCTGGTAAACAGGCTGAAAAAAAACATTCTTTATTGCTGATCCCTTTGATCTTTCATTCAAAATATGTGTTTGCCACAATTATTGACACCCCTTTGTGCAGCCTCCTTTTGCAAACACAACAGCTCTGAGTCTTCTCCTATAACGCTTAATGAGACTGGAGAACGCATGGCAAATGATCTGAGACCCTCCATACAGAACCTCTCCAGATCCTTAAGATTCTGAGGTCCACATTTTGGCATTTTTGACTCTCCTTTTCAGCTTTTTGTGTTGATTTTGAGGTGTGCTTTGGATCATTGTCCTGCTGGAAGATCCAAACTATGGCCCAGTTTAAGCTTCCTGGCTGAGGTAGTCAGGTTTTTGATTTTATTTCTGCTGGTACTTGATGGAGCCTGTGATACCTTGTATTGGGATAAGTTGTCCAGGGCCTTTGGAAGAAAAACTACCCGACAACATCACAGATCCACCACCATACTTCACAGTGGGGATGACATACTTTACTGCGTGGCTATCCTTGTGTCCATGCCAAGCACATTTCTGGTGTTTGTTGCCAAAAACCTCTATTTTGGTCTCATCTGACCGCAGAACATGGCTCCACTCAAAGTTCCAGTAACATTAGGTAAACTGTAGATGCTTCACTTTGTTGGTCCTTGACAGCAAAGGCCTCCCCCCAAACAGCTTGTGGTTATACAAGTGGTGTTTGATTGTGGTTTGGGAGAGACCCAATTTCTGTAACTCCCCAGACTATGATACTTGGAGATTCTTTATCCACTCGTACCATCCTCCTCACCCGCAGATTCTTAACATCACCAGTTATTTTAAACTTCTTAATCATTGCCCTCATAGTGGAAATGGGCATTCTCAACTGTTGCAGCCATTTCCTGATTTTTGCAGCTCAACAACCTTTTGTCTCACATTATTGCTGTTTTCTCTGATCTTTCTCATAACAATGAATGACTGAGGGAATTCATTTCTCAAGTAGAAATACATAGAGCTGATATATAGTGCTCTTAATTAGGCCTCTGCCTTATTAAGTTCCATTACTTGTGAATGATGCTTCATAACAGTGTTCTAAACTGAATACATGTCGATAAAGTTAGTTTAAGGCCCCTTACGTCCACACAATGTCATTGACTTCAGAAAACATATTGTCATCTTGCAATTACTGACGTAAGCTGTTCATAAATATTCAAACATTGATTTATGAATATGTTATTCAATGCTTATGCATGTGTTATGAAGCCCTGTAGAAGTAGCTTTCAAATAAAGTGTTACCCTAATGTTTTGTATCTTGCTTTATTGAGATTTTTGACTGTGCTCTGTTCTATTTGTTGTGCGCTTTAATATCTCTGGTTTACAATGACCTCCAACTCTAACCTGTTTCAGGAGGAGAAGGAGGAGGAGAGAGGAGTACAGGATCCAGCTGCACCCCGCCAAGAGACGAGTAAATACACTAAATCAGTTCAGCTCCACCGAGCATAACGTTAAACACTGCTTACTTAATTAGCATTGTGCCACTGTATAAAGGACACCACCATTTTCGAGGGCTATGATCATCCGCATTGCAGCATCTATATATACACAGGACGAATTTTTGATATTTTTGAGACCTGTTTTTGAGTGCATGTTCTCATAATCTTAAAGACGTTTTTCATCTAACAGCGTGTAATTAAATGCTTGAAATCTGTTACTTAGACAAATATAAGTCGTAAAGTTAGTAGTGAACCATTTTAATTGTGAAGAATGTATCTGTTCTGTTGGAAAAGCATCCCAGTTGGCTCCTTGGGAAGCTGCTTAATTGAATGGCAAGAGTGTGAATCTAAAAAAGAACTTTTTGTTGGCTTACTGTATAATTCTATACAGTACTGTGCAAATGTCAGAGATCCTTGCAGTCAAAAGCCATTGAGAACATGTTCTTCATCTTTCAGGAGATATTTGTGAGATTAGATGTAGATGATCCACTTGCATAAGAAAGGGGAATAGGAATTTCCAAAACTAGAGTTCAAAAAATAAATACAAGCTACAGAGAAAATGGGACTCCTAACAATCCTGGTAAAAAAAAAACACCAAAACTGTCCCCATCAGATAAACAGCACTTAAAGCTTTCATCTTTGAGAGAGAGGAGAAAATCAGGCTGCTTCAGATCTGAAAAAATCCACAGGTGTTTCTGTCCATCCTTTCACTGAGAGAAGACAACTCAAAGCTGTGACTCAGAAATAGGGATGGGCGACATGGCAAAAATATACTGTCTCTATACTTAAAGACATGTTGATGATACACAACATGGATCACAATGTATTGATGCATTTTCACTTTTAAAAACAGCCACCAAAAACTATGATGTACAATGATTTTTATTCCACCTTTCACTATGCTGCACCAAATCTGTGCACCAAGACTGTGCTCTCTTTTCAATGAAACATGCAGTTGTTCAGTGTTCTTTAAGTAGACTATATCCACAATGTACTCAGTAAAGCAGATGCCCATGTCTAGTCTGAAAGCATGTGTCGCTGTTAGGAAGCCCTTACTGAGAAAAGAAAATAGACAAAGAAGATGCTGGTGGTCTCAGAATAATGACTGACCACCCCAGACCTCAACATCACTGAATGTGTTTGGGAATACTTTATGTTTGCCAGAAGCAGAAAATGCAAAACCGTCTTCTAAGACGGAACTTTGAAGAAAATACCTGCTGATTTCTTTGAAAAACTGAAAGCAGGTATGGACACACTATAAAGAGCGGAAACACTAAATACTGTTTTCCTGTTAAATTTATGTTTTCCGTTTTTTTCCTGACGCTGAATAACTTGTGCTTAGTGGTCGTTTTGACTGGAAATTAAATAAATGAAGGGTGGTCTTTGCCTTTTGCACAGTGCTGTATGTGTTACATAGTTTTGATGCCTTCACTCTTTTTCTAAAATGTGTAAAACAGTAAAAATAAGGAAAACCTTCTCCCAGTAGGTGTATCCAAACCTTTCACTGGTCCTGTAGACGACTGGAGGTGTATGCAGCGTACACCTGGGAGAATGTCTCGAAGACTCGTCTCTTATCATGAATCAGAGAGCAGAGAAAATGCCACTTTTACACACGCTGACATTTCTATCAGGTTTCAGATAATGAAGCTAATGTTGAAAAATGGCAAAACGTCCTTTTAACAGTGAGCACAGGTGCCCTTCCATTGACGGTTAATGGTAGCACTCAAGTTCTAACAAATGACGCCCATCACTGCAGTCCTGGCTGGCACCACATTTGTTTGCAGACGCTGCTGACATTTTCATTTCTGACCAACATAACCTCATCTTTTTGTGTTTCCTTATAGCAGCATAATGCTTATGAGCACGGAGCAGTGTATGACAGGATGAAAAAGGAGACAAAGCACCAGAGAAAGAATAGCCCAGTGTACGTCAACCTGCAGACTGTGCGAGCATATAAGAAAAGACAACGATGACGCCTTCAACTTTGAACTCTGTTGAAATATTTCCATTGACTTTCCAGCTGCTGGTGATGTTTGACCAGTTGGCATAGAAAGCGCAAGCCTGGGTGACTGACCAAATCTAGCACATACTAATGTGTGAAAGTGGAGAAGAGTGAAACTATGCAGCGCTCTGGACTCAATTCTAATGACATCATCAGCATCATTATCATTATCACTACTGCTGGATTAACTCTTGTCCGGCCCATTATTTGCTTTTGTAACTTCAGAATCAGATATTTATGTATTATGCTGAGTAGAAATAGACATTTCTTTCCTGTTTTTCCATGACGTCCATGCACCGCTCACAAACATGTTCTTTCATAGCAACTGTTGCTAAGTAGTCTAGTTTTACAGAAACCTGGGGCCATATTACAGAAACAGACTAACTCTAAAGTCATATCTTCAGTTAGACTGATTTTAGGACAGTAGCAGTTCTAAAGTGCATTATCTTATTTTAACTCCAAATTTCACAAAGTTTCCTAAATACTGTCCTAACTTTAGGATAGCACTAATAGTGTCCCAATAGGCACAGTTATGCCATTACATTCATTCTTTTTGCAAAACACCAGTTTTAACTGTGATTTTCTTTTTGCTGCAGTTCAAAAAACAACTACCTTTTGTCTGATTCTCTCTCATTACTTGCATCTGTTAATGTAGATGAAAACTTGCTAAATAACATATTGCAGCAATGGTGGCGAGTAATGATGAGATGGAGTTAAACCTTTGGCAGTTTTAGGAGGAACAGGGTGATGAAGGCCATAAATGGAAATGAAAACAGGGTGACTTAAACAGCAGGGGGCGCTGTCACAATATTTGTAACTTTGTTGATCGAGGTTACTAAAAAGTCCAGTTCATCAAACTTTAATTTCGTTTTCCTAGGGTTGCTATAGCTTTTAATGTTTCTGTTTATGTTATTTTGTTATTAACACAATAACATCATAATACTGGCTCCAGGGACTGTGATATAAACTGAGCCGTGTCCTACAGTTTCTCATTAGGTTGGATGAATAACTCGCTCTAAATGTAGGTATTGTGATATAAACTGAGTTGTGTTCTACAATTTCTCATTAGGTTGAATGAATAACTCGCTCTAAATGTAGGTATTGTGATATAAACTGAGCCGTGTCCTACAGTTTCTCATTAGGTTGGATGAATAACTCGCTCTAAATGTAGGTATTGTGATATAAACTGAGTTGTGTTCTACAATTTCTCATTAGGTTGAATGAATAACTCACTCTAAATGTAGGTATTGTGATATAAACTGAGTTCTACAGTTTGTCTAACCTCACAACAGTAGCTATGAAAACACATTTGTGGGTGGAGCACGTAGGTCATTTGCATAAACTAGAAGAAGCAAAGGCTGCACAATTTAAGGTTCTGCTTTAGCTTGATCAACACTAGATTGTAGACTTTCTGGAGTGGACTGATCAGTTCAGAATCACTGCAGTTTGTTTTGCTGCTGTGCTTGCTTTCTGAAAACAGAACTGGAGGAACATGGACTGAAGACGCGATGGCCAGAGTGACGAGAGGACACATCGGTGACTGTATCATCGGCTTTCAGGGTCTTTGGTGGGAGATAAATGGTGGTAATGTTTTTTTTCGAGTGTAAATCTCAAGTATCAGTGACTTTAAATTATAACTGTAATGTGAATAATTCAGTAAGATATAGAACGCTATGGTACAAGAGGAACAAGCTCATTTCAAAATAAAAGTCATTTTGTTACCTCAAAGCCGTCCTTCATTAATCACAGAGTCAAAATGAACTCTTACTGCAATCATTTAAAGGGCCAGTATCATGAAAAAATCAGGATTTTTAAAATAAAAGAGATGTATGTAAACACAAACTTTCAAAATGTACAATTCATTTTGAAATCATTGTTTTTGTGATGTCACAAAAACCAACACACTGAAATCCACCTTTTACAGCAGTTTAGGCCCGCCCATTGAAGTTCTACATGTTTCAGACAAGGCTGATTTTTGAATAATGCATAATACAGGACAGCTTATTTCCATATACAGTTGTGTGCAAAAGTTTTGGCGCCCTAAATCAAGAGGTGTTTTGTTGATTTTCTAGGTGAAGATAAGTTCATCCTCTACAGATGACACACTTTGCACATTTTAATACACAATATATTATGTTTTATTTTTACTGGCAAATAAATACAAATTGTGCACTCAAATGCAATAGTAATTCTCTGTAGAGGATGTGTTAACTTATTTTAACTTCTCAACAAAAAAAATCAACAAAACATGGAATTTGACCAGGGGGGGTGTCCAAACCTTGAATGCACAGTAACAAAAACAGCCTGTTTAATTCTAAGGGATAAAGAGAGGTTAGAAAATGGTCATGGGAAAATAAATGATGACTGTTTTTGATTCACAAACCCACACAAATGTCATTAGGTGGACCATTACGTGGGGAAAACAAGAAAAAATGATTAAATGGTGATTCAGACTTGAACTGAGAGATGATTCGTACAAATGATTCATTATTTGATACTTGATAGAAGGCAAACATTAAGACGTCTAAAACGTCTACAACATGTGAAGATGTGCTGAATCAATGCTGACAGCTTATTGTATATAATATACATTGTTTTTATTTCTCTTTCTGTAAAAGTTGACATATGTACACAGGACAGGATTCCACTCTAATGTGTATGAGAAGAACAGGATGAGGGGAAGAAACAAAACAAACAAACAAAAGCAGGATTTCTCGGTTAGGCCTAAAAACAAGCTTGTCCAATAGGAGAAGAGCTAAGGAACATTCCTTTTGGACAATCCTCAACCTTTGGATTAAGTCATCTAGCTTACTGACAAATCCTGCTTGGTGAAATACCCACTACAGTCATTGCACATCTATATAAATCAAACCAGTGCAAACAAACAAAAATGTCATTATATAACAACTAATATCTGAACAAGAAAGACAGGTTTGTACGCAGTTTCTAGCCTTGTTGACTTGCAGTATCAACTTAAACAGAGCTGGACAGATCAGCAAGGACAATTTTTTTTTTTGTAAATAGGCAAATCTATTCACATACAGTTTAATTACATACAGTGTAAGCTATTACTTTTGAGGTGGATGAACATTTGTTGGTTTGCACTTTTGACCAACAGCCTTTTTTCTTGTACTTCATTTGTCATTGGCTACATTTAAATGCAGCTTAATAATCCTTTAGTAATCAGACTAATAGGTCGATTGGGCTAAAAAAAACCTTTATATGAAGAGCAAAATCAGAAAAATCAGCGGATTGAGCTTTGTGACATTGTATCTGGTTAAAAGAATTGCAGTACACCTCTTTCAGTTTAATCATCTAAATGCTAAATGGAACAATAATCACCATGAAAACATCCAGATCCAATCACTTCTTCAATCATATCTTTGCTTGCGCTGCTGTTCATAAGTTTGGAACTAAACACAGAATGGTATGGAAGTCCAGAGAGGCCATGAGGTAGTTCTAATTTTCTGCACTGTTATTTTGAGATCATGATATACTTTATCTTGTGATCTCAAGATAACAAAAGTTGTTTCCTCAGGATCTCAAATTGATCTCTCTCTCTTGAGATTACATGATCATGTATCATGATCACAAGATAACAGTGTTGAAAATTAGAACTACCTCATGGCCTCTCTGGATTTTGTAAAACTGCATTTTTAGATGTTTTATACAACATTTCAAGTCAGTAAAAAGGCATTATGTGCTGTGTAGATTTATTTGTTTGTTATTAATAGGTTATTGGCCTTCATGTTTGATCACCACTTGAAACACGAGGCATTCTGGATATTCGCTTATTAACTCTAATTTATGTTTTGATGTTCTACAGCTTTTGCAGCCATTTTAGAATCTTTGAATTATTCTGGACACATTTTCCTTTTTTCTCCTCCCAGTTTCTGACTACTTATATGAAACCTGTAGGATTGTACAGGAGCAAATTAGAATCATTTTATTTATCTGCAGCCAAATTGTACTGAAAGTATTGATTCCAAACTTTTGAACGGTAGTGTAAATTCTGGGCTTGTGCATTCACATCACAGGACAGAGAACAAGTTTCTTGTTGTTATGATAACAGCTGACACTCCACATATGTGCATATTTTTTTTTGTTTTACATGTAAAGTACATGTAGAAGGATGTACAGATTGAGCGGTTTAGGGTTCAGTTAATTTAATATTTAAGAATCAGAGTGAATTTGTTCTGAGAGAAAACCTCATAAACATAAACAACGTAACAAACACTTTTCTACACAGCTGGGCAGAATGGACGAACACAAACGCAAAACTGAAGGTTACCTCATATGAACATTGTTAAACAGCTGTTCACACATCTCTGATTGTCTTCTGCGTGTGTTTCTGTTACTGAATATTTGATTAGATTGAGCCTCATTCACCAGTATCTTCCTGTTTTTTCTTAAATTTCGTTCTCGAGTAAGCTTCTAAGACAAAGTCTACATCAGATTGTTCTTAAATCACAGAACTGTTCACACCTTTGTGCTTTTGAGTGAGCATAGATTCTTTCTTACTTAAGAATAAATCCCAAATAAGAAAACATTGGTGAATATCAGAATCTTAGTACAAACAGTGTAAGTGGGATTTAAGAGGAAATTGAACTTAATAATGGTTGGTGAATGAGGCCCAGTGTTGATCAAGATACTCTATAGACTCTATAGCATAGTAGAAGATACACTGCCCAGCAAAAGACTGCACTCTTAATAAAGGTGATCAAACAAAAACATGCAATGCCTTAGAAAAAACACTTTCGCACTTTCGGCTTCCTAAAGAACCTTTCAATGGAGAGCCATTTTTAGATTTAATGTGTGTGAAGAATTTTTAAAAGGCTTAAATAACCTCTGCATAATGTAAAGGTTCTATGTGTGCTCTTTAAATTTTTAAAAGGTTCTTCGCACTCACAAATCTCTTCAGACAAATTTTTCAAACATGGTCCTTTATGTTCTGGTTTAAGGGTTCTTCCTAGAACCTTTACATTATGCAGATGTTCTAAAACTTTCAAAAAGGTTCTTCTCACTCACGTCTCAATAACCTAAATGTTTTTTTAAAGAACCATCCATTGAAATGTTCTTGATGGAACCAAAAGTGGTTCTCCTGTAGCATTGCTCTTTTTAAGAGTGTGGGTTCACCTTGCTTTGCTCAAATTAGAATTTTCTCACTGTTATTTTCTCACTTAAGTAAGGAAAACACCGTCTGTTAATGTTTACAGTTTTTTTTTCCAGAATATTAAAAGCATGCATTGAAACTCTTTTTGGGCCAAAAGTGGTTTAAACACCTGAAAGGTTTGAGTGCTGATGAGCACTGACATCACAACAACGGGGATAAAGTGAGCCTGGCCTTCTGCTATATTCCTAAAGTAGCACTGTCACTAATATTGGCACATGTGATATTGTTGTCCTCTAAATAAACCTGATCGGACCTTAATATGGGAAATAACAAGAAAGTAGCCTGAAAAGCTGAGTGTCTCCAAACTTTCGATGTACTATAATCTCTTCTACAAGACAGTAAATATTAGAAATATTAGACTGTACTATTTGTGTAATGCTGGTCAGTTACAGATGGCGATGGGGGACCATTTCTTCTTTCTGGCTATTATTCCAGAATCTGCATCAGAAGGCACTTTATAGCTGACGTGAGAGAAATTCTGCATCATCAGCTACAATCTGCGTCCTTACATGACCCATATAATATATCTAAATTATTGAAGATGATGCTACTTAGTTTCCTCAAGTTCAAAAAAACTGTGCAAGCCAAAGTACATTGTTATATATAGACATTAGGACTACACTATATATATACTGATACTGCAATATGTCTCTAACCAATCACGGAATGTTTCACAGGGTGCACTGAGTATCTTGACCAATCACAGATGTCTGTGAGGGTGTCTGGACGAATCACCATCTTTATATGAATCAACAAAAGTAAATAATTAGAGTAAAAATGATGCAGGTCTGTCTTTCTACCATGTTCACTGTTTGTACTGGAAGATCTATTACAGTCACAGTATGCAGCAGTTTAATTGCAATATGGGTATTTTGTCTGAAGTGTTTAGCTCTAATCAGAATATTGAACGCCTGCCTTAATTAAATCCAACACCCCCCTTGTCCCCCCAAAAAAGTCACTGTTTCCACTGCTGGAATGATAATTAGAACTATTTGGGGATCATTAATCTTGGTGAATTTTGTACTTTCTTTCTGACTTTCAAATATTGCAATTTTGAGTAAGTGCTTTCTTTTACAGTCCCCTTAGTTCTAGATATTAACCAGGAGGGTGTGAGGTACAAACTCCAAAGTACTAGATAATTATTTTGGGTAACAGGATGGTAGGTTCAGAGAAATTACACTGAAATGACAGGTTCTAGCTGTTAAAGTGATCAAGGATGTAGTAAATCAGTAGTGTATCATTGTTATTTGGAATAACAAGGTTGTAAATACAAATGTACACCAAATATCAATTTTAATGTCACATGTTTAAGCAAGAAAGTAAATGGTAAACATTTCCAAGTACTGGGTAAGTTGATGGCACAAAATACAAAGATTTCTGAAGTCTTTCTGAAGTAAACAGCTCAAAATCAGTTTTGTGTATAGATAATAAACATATACATACATATAAATATATATAAATAATTATGTAGCACTTTGGAGTTTGTACCTCACACTCACCTGGTTAATATCTAGAGCTTAAGGGACTGTAAAAGAAAGCCCTACCCAATTTTTAATATTGTGAAAACTTAAAATATCTTAATGTGACTTTTTCTCCAATATTGTTCAGCTCTAATAATAGCTGACACTGTAAACAATGTAGAATTACACACAGCACTGCTTCAGATCTCTGGATATTTCAGCTCTGTCATATTAGGGCGCACAGTCATAATTATAGATGTACAATGATAACAGAATCATATCAATACCAGCAGATAACTACATCAGACAGATATTTAAATTTGACCAATATTTCAAACTGATATTTGATAATGTACTTATTGAAGAGCAGAATGTTTAGGTGATGAGTTACTGCATTTTATCCATTTTACTGTGTAAAATCTACAGAAGTCTACAGACATACGTTATGTTCTGTAATGTTAATCCAGGTTGATTTAGTCTCAATTTCTATTTTTTTAATAAATGTTTGTATCAACATTGGCATTTCTAATATCTGTGCATCGCTAGTCATAATAATTAGTACTACTGAGTCTGACTGAAACATCTGCCCAATTTCCAGTCACATTTCAGTTTGAAGTGAAACAATGTATAATTCAATGATTACAATGGAAAGTCATTCATAACGGTCTGACGTTCTAGAGAAACTTAGTGAGTCAGAATTGTTAACAGTGGTGGTGACAGGAACCAGATATCCACCTCTAAAAGCTCTCTCACTGAAGGTTATTACATGGAATGATTGTGAATGCACTGCCTGATGCCTGATACATTGTTTTACGGTAGTTTTGAGAAGGTTTTGGCCTACTCCCCAAAGAAGGTTCACTGCTGGTTTTGGATAGTAAGTGAAGTGGCTATAATTGTGTTGTAGACATTGCGACCCCTGGTGCCTATCACCACCACTGCAAAGAAAAAGTCTCTACAATGAACCATTGTAAAGAAATGACTTTGTTTACATCTTTTTTTGAAGGAAAAAAAGGTGTAATTCCCCTTTTAATTCAGTTTACAGTCACACTGAGGTGGTGCCAAAACGGCAGCGTAGCCACTCACTCAGCGCAGACAAACTCAAATTTACAGACGCAGAATATAGTGTGAACTACAGCAGGTTTGGTTTTGACAGCGTTGCTGCTTGGTTGTTGATTTCTGAACAGGGCTCTGAGGAAAAACTATTGTTTCTAGGAATCAATGAAAGTGAAAAGCCACCAATTAGCATAAGTGAGTTGGTGGCTGCTAGTTTCCTGTCACTGTTAGCCAGAGTAGCATGTTTGTTCAGACTATTCCTTTGAAACATGACGAAAGTAAAGGAACAAAAGGAAACATTTTCAATATTACTTCACACACCACGGAGCTGTGACAGCACGACAGAACACAAACACAAAGAACAGAAAACCAAAGGTGCAACGCCTGATTTAAAAGTGCCGGGTGCAAAACCACACAAACCGTTTCTTTAGCGAGACGCTAACTGTGCACATCTAGGAGTAAAAACACAGAGATACAATCAACCTGATCTGCAGAAAACTTTCCAGTGCTTATTTCCACTACAACAGAAATATGAAAAAAGAAGAAATGAAAAAGTGCAAAATTTAGGCATTTGTAGTTTTACAGCATGTACAAAAAAGAGGCTCCTATATTTCTCAGAGTTCTGAATACATACAGCTCTACAGGGAGTAATTCATTATACATCGGCCCTATACTGTACATGTGTCTATCAGTTGTCTAAAGCTGTGAAATGTCTTTGTTTTTTCTCCTTCTTTTCTCCTAGTAAGTGCGCGTCAATGCAGCATTGTGGTGCTGTAATGCTTTCCGTGTCCACTAGAGGGCGAGGCTGCTCTCTCACTGCTCTCCTCTTCGCTCTGCTCGTTCAGAAAGCTTTGGAAAGTCTGTGCTCGAGGAATGAGTGTCATTTTGGTGCTCGTGCCTGGAGGAGAGAAAGTGAAGTCATTAGAAAGGCCATTACGGCACAGACTAGAACAAGAAAATGCTAAATATCTCAGGACTAAGTAACTTCGCCATCAAAATCTACCAACCAGCTGCAAAAACTGCTACAACCATTACACTTTATACTAAGACACTTATTCTGAGAAACAGTTTGGCAAAAAATCAAACTTATCCGAATGTAGATGATCAGCTAAAACATACTTGCTGTTTGTTTCCTTTGTTTTAGCACAGAAGCTACAAGGCTAATGTAGCTAACAAGTTTGTGTGGCCTACACCAATTAGCATGGTGCTAACTGCGTACCTGAATCATCACACACTGTGTCATATTGTTCAGTGTTGTCTAATAGACTTCACACTGTATGACACTGTTATGTGTACATGGACTACAGTACATTAGCATAGCTAAAACAGTAGTTATTAATTAATTATGAAAATGATTTAATGCCCATTGCTGGCTACTATCTTCCATCCTTTGTTGGCAACATTAGCATGTATGGTTGAGCTGTTTCTTTAGGATTAACAACTGAACAGTAAGCTTATAGTTTAAGGATTTCATTTATTTCCAATTTATTTCCAATTTCCAAAAAAAAAGTACATTATGCACTGACTGGTCAGAGTGTTAAACTGCTCAACACTGAACCAAGGTCAGCTCTCTTAGAATAACACTGACCCACACTTAAGTCAGCTCACACACAGTCAGGGCTGTGTGGATGTGTGTTCTTACATTTTCTGGACAAAAAAAAACCCCAAAAAAACAAAAGCTCAAAAGCTTTTTTAAAGTCAAGAGTAGAGACGGGTGTAGGACTAGTCTATAATAATGTATAGATACTTACATAAATATAATCATAGTATGGGGCATGTTATCATATATGGATACTAACATATATATATATATATATATATATATATATATATATATATATATATATATAAATGGGACATATTACATATTTTGACATAAATATATATATATATATGGGACATCTTATTAAATATACATAAGATACTTACAGTCATATGCAAAAGTTTGGGCGCCCCTGGTCAAATTACATCTTTTGTTGTTCAAACTTTTGCGTAAGTCTGTTTACTTTAAAGGATTAAAGTAAGGTTGGAAAATGGTCAAGTAAAAATGAATTATGACTGTTTGTGGTACCAAAAACAGCACACGTACAAAAACATAAACATTATAAGTGAAGCTCAAGGGAATTACAATAAAAGAAAATGAAAGATATGGGCCCTTTTACAGCCCACTGAAACAAGCAGAGATATTGTATGGATTCCATTACCACATCTGTATTTGTAAGTAGAAGAGGAGATATTTGTTATTGTAGTGCTCAGTCTGGTTTGTGAAAAGAAAAAAATCATGACATAATTAATTGTGCGTTTAGACATATTTCTGAACGATAAGCTGAACCCAGTCATTTCTTTAAATACAGAAGTAGCAAAACCCAGCTCATACGCGATCATTTTAATGGATAGATTAAGGTCATTTTCATAGAAAAACTAAAGGAGAAATTAAGGTCATTTTCATAAAGAAACTGAAGGTGAAATGACAATAAATAAATAAATAAATGACATTTAAGCAACACACAAATTTGAATTAATACAGTATTAATAATGCTTAATAAGAGTGAAGTCCTACATATGAGAATGTTTAAAAAACAAATGTGGGGAAACAAAAAATCAGGAAAGGGAAACTGTTTCTACAGTCATGTGCGAAAGTTTGGGCACCGCCGGTCACTTTCCACGTGTTGTTGATTTTCTAAGTGAAAATAAGTTACACACCCTCTACAGGGAACACACTTCTGCACATTCTAATGCACAATTACTGTTTATTTACTGAATTTAATGTGTTGTGAAAAAAATAAAACATAAAATGTGGCCTGTTCTAAAGTTATAGCACATTTTATATTTTATATAAAGATAAAATCTAACTTTTTTGTATTTATTTTTACACATAAAAATCATATATATTTATCTGCAACTAAATTGTTTTTCTACTCTTGAAAACAGCGAGTCCAAACTTTTAATCTTTTCAGTTACTTCATATATACAGTAAAAAACACTCTGTTATTCGCAGTTTGATGATGCAGCTTTTTAGTGCAAATACAAAGACAAAGAACGAAAAAAGAGAAAGATAATCGTTTTCCAATTCATCATTAGTTTGTTTGACATGAGAGTAGGACTTCATAGCTCTGCTGTCGGACCGTGAAAGACCAGTTTAATAGACATTATTAAACAGCTGCTGAATAACAGAGCTGATCTGAGAGACAACAAATAAAATCATTAACTAAAGCCGTAAACAGGCTCATCTGTCACTCACACACACTCAGTCCCTCCTGAAAAATGACTGATCTCTCTCAGCCTCATCATTACAGCACAAGGTCACACCATCTTATCTTACACACCAGCTGCCACGTACGAGAGAGGGAGAAGAAAGAGAAAGTAAAGTAAGGAAGGTACAGAAATGAGCAATATGCCTACAACACTAGGCAAGCCCTAATTCTATTTAATATATATTATATATGTATTTTACATATAATATAATACAGACCGACCCTAAAATTCTGTGCAGGCAAGGGTGAACCGTGAATATTCGGCCTTCAGTTCAGGCCGTAAATATCAAAACTCGGTCAAAATGAGAGAAAAACAACTTTATGATAATGCTAATTTCTCCTAGCATCCCTATGGGATTCTAGTAGTATGTTAGCACTAAGCTAACAGTAATAAACATTTTTGGCCATTTTAGATTAAACAGACGTTTGAAGCTTGTTGAAAGACATTGACATGAAAAAGTTTTCTGATTTCCGTCACTCCTGAAGTTGCCAGTTCTCACTGCCACTCACTGGCTGTACACATAAAGCCAGTAATATGACACAGTTGCAAAAGAGAATAGGAAAATAAGAATAAATCACATAGTGAAGACATTTGATAAAGAAGGGATACCTGGAGCATACGGATGGAAAGAAAGACACCTACAGCTACCTGGCTTGCTATTTTTTATCATTCATCACTCGATGTACCAAAAATCATTGGGCCTCATTCACCAATGCCTTCCTAAGTTTTTTTCTTAAATGTGTTCTTTAGAAAAAGTCAGATTCATGACGTGTTCTTAAATGGCAGAATTGTTCGCCACTGTGCTCTTGAGTGTGTACATTCTGTTCTTGCCCAAGACTAAATCCCAAATAAGAAACCAAGTGAATGTCAGAATCTTTGTGAAAACTGTAAGTGGGTTTTAAGGAGAAATTTCTTCTTAAGAACAGTGAATGAGGCCCAATGTCTCTTTAATGCAAGTCAGCTCCCAACGGTCACCTAAAAAGGCCAGCTCTTTGCAAACGGCTCATCACTAGCTCAAATCAATAAAGATGCAGACAGGTACAAACTAAGTACTCCCTCCAATTAACAAAGATTTGATTGTTCCTTAAGTGTTTATTTTACTTGTAAAGCATCTTAAGCCAGGACCACTTAGAAAAGAATGGCTGAGTGCCCATTCTTGTTCAAAACATCAAAGTGTTCTTGTTTTTCGTTGTTCGAGACATAACCCCTTAAAAAAAAGGCTGTTCAATGTGAGACCTTGTTGCTTTTCGAAAAAGCCTTGCCTCCTGTTAAGGAGATTGTTGGATTAAATCCAGCATAGTCTCACACCTAAATAGAGTGAACACAAAAGTGGGGTGCTAGTTTTTAAAATACAGAGGCCTCTACTTAAAACTAAGTCAAACCCCCTGTTTCCTGCTGCATAACCCCTCCTGTAATCTCTCATTATGGATGTAGCAATATTCATATTTATTAACAAGCTCGAGATTTTTGAGAGGATCCAGCGACATTTGGGGTCAAAATTTATGTTGGACAGAATGTATCCAGTCTAACATTTTTGCTCACCACAGGAGCAATTTTCAAAAATGGCATCCACTTTTCCTACAGAGGAAAAAAAACGTATAGACCCAGAGTTCCTCATATGGACGTCAGCTACTTTAAAAACACTAAAACAGACCTCTATGTTTATAATAAATGTAAAAAAAAAACAAAAAAAAAGATTTTGAACCAACAAGCTTCTGACCCTGATACGCAGCTCATACCTTTAAACTATTCAGCCTCATGACCAACTTTTGTGTTTGGACATTTGATTTCCTAGCTTTCCACTGGAGACACAAAAATATAAACCTTTTAAGCAACTTATAAACACTTGATTTCAAAGCACCTCAGTCGTTTTAGGTGACCTGGGGTTTCATTTGACTTTCTTTTTTAAATGGACCAAACTCTAACTTTAAAGGGACAGCAAATGACCTCAGTGTTTTTGTGTTTAGATAGACTTTAAAGGGAACTAAGTTCTCTTTTAGGTTCTCATTGATGAGATCTCAACATCGTCGTTACCCACTGACTGTACAGCTGTGTATTTAGTGAGCCTCGAGGATCTTCAGTCAAAAAGAAAGTTTCGCTATGGACACATGCAAAAAATGAAACTAACAACTACTGCTACCTTCACGTGATCCACACAGAACACAACCACAAAGCAAATACTGTACTATATTGGTGTAGATGTTAAATGAGTAAAAATGTATGCTGCTTCATTAAGCAAAATGAACAAGACCAGCTCTAAGGTTTCGACCAGCATTCTCACCGATTTGCTCAGTGAAGTGGTTTATCACAGTATGCATTACTGATTAGGGATGTATCAATACTGATACTGGTATGGGGTATGAGTCAGATTCAGGGCTTATTTACTCATACTCGCAAATAATGCACCAATACTAACATCTGATGCACCTAATACTATGATGTAAGCTTAGTGTGCGCTGCTGCACTAATGAACAAACTACTCAGTGAACGAGAGTCTGCTCACAAAGTGAGGTGTCGCTGCCGCCGCAGCAGTCAGACACAAAGTTGTGGTCACTTTTAACGTCCTGCCATGGCATATTTCCACAGTAAAAAACACAGTCACAACCATTTCCCTAATTCGGGTGGAGACATGTAAGCTAACAA